TGAACTTTTTGTTGATACAGATATGGTCAATTTGGTTTTGAGTAGTGTGGTCCGGTGAAATCCATGTGGCTTTGTGAATGCGTTTGTGCGGGAATATTGTGCCACCGATGACCAGTTTGTTGAAGGCACTTAGGTATGCAAATCTCTCACCATTTTCGTTCCTTTCTCCCAGTCCATGTCGTCCCATGATGTCTTCATATCCAGTGTTGTCCATTCCAACCTTGGCATTCAGGTCTCCCATAAGAATCGTCAAATCCTTTGGTGAACATTTCTCGACGATTGACTGCAGCCTTTCGTAGAATTGATCTTTAACGTCGTCATTGTAGTCATTGCTGGGTGCATAACATTGGATGACGTTCATTGTAATGTCCCGTTTCTTTGTTTTGAAGGATGCTTTAATGATCCTGGGTCCATGATATTCCCATCCTATCAGTGCCTTTTGTGCATGTTTGGACAGCATCAGTGCAACTCCTTGTGTATGTGAAGCGTTTTCCTCCTCATGACCAGAGTATAACAGCAGTTCCCCTGAAGCTAGTCTCAGTTGTCCTACTTGTGTCCAATGCGTTTCACTGATTCCAAGCACCTCGAGGTTGTATCGTTTCATTTCTGCCGCAACTTGAAATAGTCTTCCAGTCTCCCACATTGTACGAACGTTCCATGTACCTAAAAAAATGGTTGCTGTGGTTGTCAGAAGAGGCATCAGCCCCGTGACTTCCGAGGGAACTCGGCTTTCATCACGAGACGTCATAATTCTTCTTCCAACTCCCAGGGCAGAGTTAAAATGGTTTGAATTATTTTTTCTGGTTAGCGTTTTTTTGGCAAGTTAGATTTCAACGGAATGGGGCCGCCAACCCCATGTCCAACCCTCCTCCTTTATCCGGGCTTGGGACCGGCAGTAGCCCCTAAGGTTCTACTGGCGGAGTTTCCCTTTATATATATTAAACCCTAAATTAGAGTGATCGCCTTACGATCAGCTATCGCCGGCGCGGTTGTGTACCATACTTTTGCCTCTTCTGGAGTACTTTTTTGATTCTCATAATACTCTGGTTTGTGTTACTCATATATAAAGTTTCGGTGGCTAACATATTCACCATCGTAAACAGATAATTTTAGGGAAATAGGCCGCATATTTTATTACAACTAGGGATAAAGCCAACATAGGTCAAGATACGCATTTACTACACCGTATATGCAAACGATCGTTTGACAAAGTTAAAGAAATACTAGCGCAATATTTATTATTAATCCACCAAAATCCTAAATAAGAAACTATGGCTCTGCTGAAATGCTTAAACTATGGCACTGAAGTGATTATTTAACACGATTTTCACGCTGGTACACGAAATGCTATTTGTAACGTTTAACGGACAAACGCGATAAAGTAAATGCAATCAAATTAAGGAAGGGTTTTGCCTAATTTGCGCTGTCGAGAAGTTTCACAAAATGCACCATGGCAAACGTTTTACATTGTTTACAGACTATAAGCTAACCACAACAATATTTAGATCTAAAAACAAGAATGCCAGTTTACACAGTGAACAACCGTCAAACGTAAGCGTAACGTTGCTAAGGTACGATTTTCAGATCAAGTACTAATCTACCGAATTTTTTGGTCGACCGTAATATCAATCCATATTGACCACGAATATAGAGAAAAAATATGAGGATACAGTTGCGATTGCTTCTTAGAACGACAAAAACGTTATATTTCCACAACAGCAGTTCATTCCGTCAGTTTGACATCAACGAGAAACGTAGATTCAAAAAAGATGGACACAAAACCGTAGCGAAGCCAAATAATCCTGAAGAATTGTTCAGTCGTTATGGAGAACCACGAATTCAGTAAGTCAGTTAGAAACAACGTAGAATTTAGGACATACACACATAACTACAATTAACTACAACACATTAGCACAGAAAGATCAAATTGCCAATTCAAATCCTATAGTAGACGTAATGAAAGTATTATGAGCAATGGTCAATCGAAGTAGAACTTCGTAAGTACATAAATGAACACTTGGTATATATAAATTCGTGCTAGTGCGTTCATGTGACTTATTCCAGGATGTCCCACGTGCAACTGTTTGAGAACTGCTGCATGCAGGTTCGCTGGAATTATGACCCGTTCAGCAAAATGCAGGCATCGAGATTGAAGGGCAGTCTACGCTAGTAAAACTGTTGAAGCTCTGTGGAACCGATCTTCCAGGGCCACCCTTTCAGGTGAAACTTTCCAACTTCTTGTAGGATTGGGTCTCGAAGATTTTCTTCTGACTTCATCTGACGACACGAGTGTTTCAAATGGCATAACCTACTATACTCCGTATTTCTGGGTCTACTGCTATGTAGGTGTTGCGCCTGCTCGTAAACGCGTCATTTGGATATGCCTCAACTATTGCGAGTTTACCTAGTCGGAGAACAAGAGGATCGAGGATCCGGCGACACGACATGGCTCAGAAACAACCTTGAGAATAGAAAGTTTCGCACCAAGGTATAGGGTGCTTGCGAGTATCCACATCGGGAGTTTCACGTGGGACCATCCTAGGCCCACTTCTCTTCCTGATATTTGTTAAAGACATGTTAGGCTTAGTTATCTCATCTGCATTGATCTACGCAGACGATGAGAAGATCAGGAGATCAATTAGAAGCGAAGAGGATTCGACTGAGCTTCAAAAAGGGCAGTGAAAAACGGTTTAAAACCCAACCAACCGAAGTGCAACGTCATGCACACGACGCAAACGATCTATACCCTCAATGGAAGTTCGCTCCCTAACGTTTCCTCAGAGCGCGACCTCGGGTTAGTAACCACAGAAAGCCTCCACACCAGTCCAAACTATGAAGGAGACGCAGCCAAGGCAAGTGCACCTCTCTACTTTATGCGAAGACAACTTGGTGCTATCAACCCTCAGTTATTTTTAACCCAATTATAGATGTACGCGCGCCCATACCTAAAGGTTAACAATGTCAACGCAGCCACTCTGTTTAAAAGAGACATAAATCTCTTGGATCGAGTTCAGAGACGAGCAACCAAATGGGTAGTAGGGTTGAAAAATAAACCTTACGACGATAGACTCCAGCACTTGGGATTATTTCACTAAGCTACAGGAGAATCAGCGGTGATCTGATTATGGCGTAGAACATATTAAGCACACCAAACCACTCCAAAATGATCATCTTACCGATGCATCACCACAAATCCCCTCGAGATAATCGTCGAAAGAATGCACATCAAAGAGCGAATACCCAGAAACGTGCACACTTTTTCTCATTACGAGTCGTCGAAACTTGGAATGCTCTCCCAGCCGAGGTGACCACAGCCCTCTCAGTGGACTGCTTAAAGAAGAGACTTGATAATCACCTACTCCAATACGGACTATCATTTCCCTCTTGGACAAGCCGTTCATGATGCATATTTTGAGATCTGCTAGTTGTTGACATTGCCATCTCCGCAGATCATTTACTGAATCTATCTCGCCTCTCATATCTGTTCCCTGCCGCTTGCTTACACTTCGGTCCTCTCTCACAATCTTCGCTACCAATTCACAAACTAAATCATCTACATATTACTCAGTTCTGAAATTTTATTTATATTAGCATTAGAATTTTATCCTTATTACTTTCCACATTGCTACTATGGGTTGCATCGGCACCTGAACTAGTGATAGGGAGTGAAGTAGTCGAACGTGTAGACCGCCTCACTTATCTTGGTAGTCTCATCAGCGCCGATGGCCTGGTGACTGACGAAATCTCAGCTCGGATACAGAAGGCTCGATTGGCTTTTGCCAACCTGCGTCACTTATGGCGTAGGCGAGATATCCGTTTGCTGACTAAAGGACGAGTGTACTGCGCAGTGGTTCGCTCCGTCTTACTTTATGGCTGTGAAACATGACCAATCAGAGTAGAAGATATTCGTAGGTTACTGGTTTTCGATCGTAGGTGTCTTCGAAGCATTGCTCGTATATCGTGGGACACCCGAGTGAGCAACGCTGTTATTAGGAATCGGGTGCTAGGTAAGAATGGCAGATCAATCGATGAAGTATTGAAACTTAACCATTTGAGGTGGTTGGGACATGTGTTATGTATGCCCAACCACCGACTGACTCGTCGAGCCTTGTTTTGTAGTGTAGGAATAGGTTGGAAGAAAGCTGGGGGCGGCCAGACCAAAACATGGCACAAATCCGTGAAGTCACTGACAAGTGAACTGAGTCATGTTAGATGTAGGTTACCTGGTTGGGGTCCGCGAGACGAAAGTCACCAATCGTTAGAGACCTTGAACGACATGGCTCAAAATCGTTTGCAATGGCGCAAGTGCATCCACTCCTTACGTTCTCGCAATTTCTAACCTGAATTCCTCATCATTTCTATCTTTCACTCTCTAACTTTATCTCACTGAATTATACCCTAATCTTCTCCATTACTGCTAATACTTCTACTATCGCTACCACTATTGGATTTGAACTGACAGCTGCGTGTCTGTGCTAATGCGGTATGGCAACCTGAACTGATGTACATACGTACGAAGTCCTGTGTTGTATTTGTCTGTCTGTATAGGGTATTAAACAATTAAGGCAAAGTAAATGAGTCGTCATATTAAGTGCTTGAGATATATGTTATGTATGTCTAACTATCGACTACATTGAAGAGGATGTTAGCTGGTGTAGAGATAAATAGTAAGACCAGCATACCGCAATCTGAAGATATTTTACATGAAATTATTTGCATTTTAAACCAAAGATGAGAACTTCATGGTTTGATGTTATCAATATTTAGATATTCAAGTGGGCGTAAAGTATAGTGAAAGTAATGTGAAAAACAAACATCTCTGTCAATAGAGTTGCATTAAGTTATCATCGTAAGCACATTCGGTCATTAATAAATTCAGGCAACAGTAAGATACGCCTAGTTGTACATATAAAAGACTTGGGAAAAAACATTCAGTATCATGTTCTATGAAAAATACAAAATAATCAAGGTATTTGATCAGAATCACAAAATATAAGCATTTAAGTGTCAGTTGTTTCATATCCCTCAGTTTTCATATCTGTCAAACCTAAATGCTCATTTTCTTCTTCACTTCGTTCATATTCAACCATTTCCAATTCTGGATCAGGATCAGGTGCGTACAAATTCTGGAATAGAGAAAATATAAGGTAATAAATTGAGGAATCGAAAATATAAAACGTTAATCCGACATGCGTTGGGTTGGAGTTTTTATCAGGCAACTAATTTCAGGCATGCACGTAAACACGTCATTTGATATGCTTGAACTATTACGAGTTTACCTTAGTTGATGAACAAGAGCGAGGATCAATGATTCCGCGACACGACATGCTACTCTAATCCGAGTGTTCCAAAATCCCATTAAGTAAACGAAGGAGACCTGATATGAATTAGAACCTGTATTCTACAAGGATCCAGAAAGTGCGAGGTTCGAGTCCAGAATAAATTGAGGATCCCGGACCAGTGTCCGGGTCATAAAACGTTACAGATAATGCGTTTTTATACAGTTAGTTCGGATAAGAAACAACATTGAAGTATGTGGCACCGATAGTTGGGACGACTAATAGGGAACAACATTGAAGTGTGACATTGATAGCCTGAAGGACCATAACATTGACAGGCAGGAAGTGACCAAATAATGGATACAATGCTAATAGGTATTCCTGGTACAGCATCTTATCTAGGTGATATCATAATCATCGGCTCAACTGACATGGAACTGTTTTAATTGACTACATCAAGTCCTTAACCGAATGTTGGAGTATGGTTCCCAACTACGTGAAGAAAAGTGTCTCTCCTTCATGCATTCGACTAAGTACCTTGGTATTTTCGTAGATAAGCACGGTCGCTGACCAGACCCGGCCAACATCGAAGCCATTCAGAAGATGTCTGCACCAGCTGATGTCTCTTCAGTAAGATCCTTCTTGGGGTTAATGAGTCATTGCAGCGCATTCACCTGAATGAATTACGATCAGAAGATAAACCCCGGCAGTGGTCAGCAGAATGTCAAGCATCTTTCCATAGAGTCAAATCTATGCTCAGCTCAAAGCGTCTTTTGACACACTTCGATCCCAGCTTGGGAATTGCTGTTGCATCTGACGCCTCTAGTTATGGAGTTGGAGCAGTGATACCTCATGTGTTTCTGGACAAATCAGAAAAGACAATTGCCCATGCTGCTAGATCACTCACCCCAGCCGAGCGAAACTACAGTCGAATTGAGAAAGAAGCTCTAGTAATTATTTTTGCTGTCAAAAGATTTCATTAAATGCTATATGGTCGTACGTTTACGCTAATGACAGATCACAAAACTTTAGTTGGAATCTTTGGTTCTAAGAAAGGAATCCCTGTCTATACGGCTAATAGATTACAGTGCTGGGCAACTATGCTCTTGAGATATGATGTCAATATCAAGTATCAGTCGACAAATACTATTGGTCGAGGCGGACGATCTCTCTCAAATAATTGCAGTTCAGCGAACTGAACCAGAGGACATGAGCCACGACACCATAACATCCACCTAGGTGTCTCCTGCTCACTTAGTCTACCTACCTGAGCATTAAAGTCACCAGCCATTATTACTACATCAGAGAGCTTAACTTCTCGGAGGAGGTCTAAAAGCTTTCTGTAAGACTCATCGTTAACCTCGTCTGAACTGCAGTCAGTCGGGGCATAGGCAGATATGACGTAGAGGCAACGGCGAGTGTCCCTATCCTTACGAGTCCTTACTGTCCCGTTTAGTCGGACAGCGCACAAACGACTATCTACTGGGATCCAGTCTAAGAGAGATTGTTCAGCTCTACGACTCAATGCTATGCCTACGCCAGCAAGACCCCTGAGGGCAGCATCAGGGCTTCCAGATACACGAAGGGTAAATCGAGTTGCTTCTTTATCTTGACATGGTGAGGTCGAGTGAGTGATGCTACTCGGATCTTGTATGCGCGTTTCCGAGACGCAGCATACATCGATGGCACGAGATTCTAAAGTCCTAGCTAAGGAAGCTTGTTGCCCTATTTGACATAATGTCCGTACATCAAAGGCTCCAACATGTAGTCCAGAACGGGGTTTCAAGAGACCAGGAATGACGTTTCGTGAACTCGCTTCGTCTGCATTAGCGTTGCAGTGAATAAAGGGACTGTGAGTAGAGTTCGTTGTGGAGAGAAGAGAGGTGTGTGTTGGTGTAGGAAGGATTTGATTTCGACCAATTTGGTCTCGTGTGCTGTTACGGGTATGAGGACGGTTGTCACTTCCAGGCTGCCCACACCGTGGAACGTTGTTTCTTGAGGGACCTGAAAAGGAAGATAGGTTAGTGTTGGTCTTCGAGACCTGGGAGCGTGACCGCAGAGCCCAACGGACAACTGCTTGAGGCCGGTCACGCACGACCTTTCCATGAAGTTTTTTGAGTAATAGCTTCGCTCTTAAAAGCCCTTAGTGGGCACCCTTACCGACGGAGACGGAAATCCGTGAGGGAGGGTGAGGTGTGACATTTTTAGGGTCGACCTTTTCTAACCCTCCCTTCCTTGTCAGAAGGCAGCATCGCTGCAGATGCTGGTTGTCCGAGGGAAACACCTTACTGCCGTCACACCCCTCTACAGTCAGCAGTACGACTGCGCCCTCAGACCTTGGGTAGCTGCTTGTAGTCTGATCGTTCTCCAATCGACCTCCCTGGCATGGTAGGGCCTTCAGGAACATATGTTCCAGCCAGTAAAGCTCGGTCGGGTCATCACGATAGGCAAGCCCGACCACCACGTCAAGGTAGCAGCTACGGTCGGGGAGTCATATTGGTAAGTGTAGACTTTTGAGTCAACGAGATGACAGTAATAAATGGTTTAAAACCTTTGACGATATGGCTCGAAATCGTTTGTAATGACTCGGGTACATTCATTCCTCGTCTTTTCTGGAATTTTGATCCTTCAAACACTTCATGACCTTTCTTCTGGTTTTTTGAATTTATTTTACCGTGATATACTTCTTGAATTACATTTTCGATCCCTAATCTTTCCCATTTCTAATAATACTTCGATTACCTCTACTTCACGATTTCAATTGATAATTCAATCTCATTGCGACAATGTGGTATGGTAACTATGAATTATGTACGTATGTACCAAATTCTATGTTGTAGCTTACTAACTAACTGACACTGCAGAATTAACACCAATATTTTAATACGTAAAGTGACATGTACCCAGCATTAATTTATGATTTACTCTTACCTGAATGTAACTATTCCCAGCAGGATCATTTAGTTCAAATAATACGTTGAGTCTTTTGCCAGATGCAATCTAAAATAATTGTACTAAAATTACCAAAAGTGATATGATAGACAATTTACAAATTAGAGGACAATCACCATTTACAGTTTGGTTAGAAATAAAACACTGCGAAATAGATATTTTTTCCACAGAAGCGACTAAGCCGTAAAATGCCAAAAATTCCATTTTCTGTTATTCTTAAGCTTAATAGTGGACTGAAATTGCACAAGCCAAATGTCCTTCTACAACCAATTTAATGATAATAAAACTAAGAAAATATTTCAGGAGCAACTAGAAAGAGAGTTAAGCAACAATTTAAGCGATTCCCATCCAGAAGCAGGTTGGTATGATATCAAAAAGGCTATGAAAACAGCAGTGATATCTTCTAATAAGGTAAACTATAAATCTAGAATGAAGTCGTGGATCTCAGTAGCATCTACCGAACTGATGGATGCTCGAAATCTCATCCTACCTGGCTCTGAACATGACAAAGAGAGAAGTCAGCTTAAGCTCGGGCTGATATAAAGCCTACGCAACGATCGCGAAAAGTGGTGGATAGCGAAAGCAAGGGAGATGGAACAGGCGACGGCGATAGGCAACAGTGGCCAACTATTCAGACTCATCAACGAAACCGGTATTAGGAATCCGAATGTGAGTGAAACTATCTCGGAAAATGATGGGACTATTATTTATACTCAATCCAGGAGATTGGATCGATGGGCAGAACACTTAACCGTTCAGTTCTACTGTTCTACAGCCACACTTCGGTTGTCCACAATTTCCAGTCATCCCGAATGGCAAATCGATGTAAGTCCTCCTAGTCTTTATGAAGTTGAGAAAGCGATAAGAAATCTGAAGCGAGAGAGAGAGCACCGAAAAGCTTGATTGGCTTTTGACAACCTGCGTCACTTATGCCGAAGCCGAGATATCCATTTGTTAACCGAAATTTGAGTGTACTGCTGAGCAGTTCGCTCCGTCCTTCTATATGTTTGCGAAACATGGCTGGTGAGATTAGAGAGCGTTCGTAGGCTATTAGTATTCGATTATAGATGCTTTCTAAGCATTACTCGTATATCCAGGGACAACCGAGTAAGCAATGTTATAGTTTGGAAGCGAGTACTAGGTTGGGATGGAAGGTCAATATATGAAGTAATGAAACTCCATCAGTTGAAGTGGTTGGGACATGTGTTACGTATGCCTAACCACCGACTGACTCGTCGAGCTTTGTTTTGTAGTGTAGGAATAGGTTGGAAGAAAGCTAGGGGCGGCCAGACCAAAACATGGCACAAATTCATGAAGTCACTGACAAGTGGACTCAGTCATGTCGGTAGGTGTCGACTCCCTGATTGGGGTCCGCGAGATGATAATAATCGACGGTTAGAGACCCTGAGTGACATGGCTCGAAACCCTTTGCAATGGCGCAGGTGCATTCATTCATTGTGTTCTCTCAAATTCTAACCTTCTGAATTCCTCATCACCTCTATCTTTCTCTTTCTAGATTTACCTCACTGACTTATACTTTTCGATTCATATCTTCGCTCCCTAATCTTCTCCATTACTACTAATACTTCTACTATCGCTACCACTATTGGATTTAAACTGATAGTGGCATCTCCGTGCTGATGTGATATGGCAACCTGAACTGATGTACGTAGGTACGAAGTTCTACGTTGTAGCTGATTGAATGACTGACTTGAAATGAAACACAATTGTTATAGTTGCTATGGTGGTGGCTGATTAACTGCTGTTATTTTCCATGACAGGTATTATATGATATCGTTCCTCCTCATCCTACTTATATGGCTCAGTCCAGTAGGCATTCTCCTGAGACTGACGCTACGTCTTGGTTTGGCTACCCTTAGTCTTCCAGCGTACTCCTACACTAGCTATCGTTGCACATCGATATGGACGATGTATGGACTTAAGTAATACATGTTCATTCATTGTGTTCTCTCAAATTCTAACCTTCTGAATTCCTCATAATCTCTACCTTACTCCTTCTGAATTTAGTTTACTGAATTATACTTCTCGAACCATATTTTCGCTCCCTAATCTTCTCCATTACTACTAATACTTCTACAATCACTATCACTTTTGGATTTGAACTGACAGTTGCGTCTCTGAGCTGATATGGTAGGCAACCTGAACTGATACACTTACGTGCAAAGTTCTACCTTCCTGTGGATGACGATGATGATACTCATCGTATAATATAGATCGTAATGAAGTTGATTTAACGTATAGTAAGTCCGCCTGAAGCGCCAATGGATCTAGTGCTGATTCTGAATCCCGATAAAGGAGGAGGGTTGGGCTTGGGGTTAGAGATCCAACCCAAAAAGAACTAAATCGTTAAAAAACGCTAACCAGAAAAAATAATTCTAACCATGTAAACACTGCTCTGGGAATCAGGTCTTCATTCAGGAGAGCTATGATGTCGCATGATCATAACCGACTTTATTCGGAAGTCATGAGGCTAATGCCTTTTATGACAGAGCGAACATTAATATAGGCACATGGAATGTCCGCACATTGTGTGAGACCAGGAGAGTCATCCAAGTTGCTACAGAAATGAAAAGATATACGCTGGTGGTACTTGGAATTAATGAACCGCAGGTTGGACGACAGAGACTAGCTGGAGGAAAGGTTGGAGAATGCTGGTGGGCGGGGTGTGCTCCTCTAGGGGTAACAAGCGTAAGTAATTTGACGTATACTAGGAGAAGGAATATACATAATGTTTATAGGATTTTCGATAACTGCCAAAAAGCATTGTTGAAATTGAACAGAGGAATCAGTTTTCTTTTTAACTTATTATATCTTTAAAATTGTTTACGATTAATTTTACTTACGACTTATTATACTGAATAGTATGTTTAATAATTTAGGTTACATAATACATTGACACAAAGCATCCTTAACAAACAGTATGTGAGACTATTTCTTAAGCGACTTGTTACAACGTCAATTATATGATACCGATATTTAAAGGATTTATTGGAATCGACTTATGTACCTGACGGTTTAGTATGAGTTCCACCGTACACAGTATGCAATGTCATACAAAAGTTTATAATGCACAGTGACACATTATAGTAAGTGAATACGATTGACGAACACACATAAAACTGACCTCGTTTATGTCATTAATGATTGATCTCAATCTACTTGTTGTCTCTTCAGAAGAAGTACTGTCTCCAATAACAAAAGGATTAGTACTGATTAACTGCAATAATTAAAAAAAATAAATAGTTATTTATCTACTGAATTCATTTGAAATGCCAAAAATTTGATCAACTTACTGAATAAAAACCTACATTTTTTTGGTGAGATCTACTGAGATAAAATTTAATTTTCAACAGTAAATACTGTAACTCTGTAGCTGAGAATGAAACAAATATCTGAAATTTAAAAGTACTTTGCTGGTTCTTTCAAACCTTTAACCGATAACAGTAGACAGACAATGATCAACAGACGTATCACTAACAGTTTCATTTACTACCTATTGATGAAAATAGTTGTTATATTTAACGACAGTTACATGATAAGTCAATCTCACAAGCTTAAGTGGATACTTACAATCAAATTGCAAATATGTCTCGGAAGTAATATATATACATCACCTGAAATGCCGTTTTCATCAAATAAAGTATATTAACGAAGATGTGAACAGAGTGAGAGCAGAAGAGACAGACAGGACACTAGAAAGGAAACGAAAATCAATTACGATCAGGCGTGAATCCCGAGCTATCTAGACGATTAGTTTAAAACTATTAATTTGACCAACACAATGAAGACCTGATATGCTTGAATGCTAATACGATTTCACCTTACTTGGTAAACAGAACGAAGGTCAATGATACAGTGGTGACACGATAGGCTATTCTAATCCATTGTCCCAGGCCCTACTAAGAAAAGCAAGAAGTTTTGATAAGGCGTAGAGAATGTATTCTACAAGCACCTAGGAAATACGAGGTTGCTAAGCACATAAATCAAGCTTATATATACAATGATAGCAAGGCCCTTGGGAGAGCCACAAAATAGCGTACTAAAATAATCCATCAGCCAATTAGTCAAGGAGTTTCCGAGGGGGGAATGTAAGCTTAAGGTCAACTGGCGCCAAAACATGGAAATTCAAAATTTCGGAATAAAATTGTAACATTAGGACCTTTCCAAGTGAGTTCTGGAGATCTAACGACCTCAACAAAACCACTTCATACTCACTGACGATTAGTAGTAACTAAATGCTACATTTACTATTCATCACTATAAAATATACAAAAAATTATCAAAAATACCAACCAACTTGTTTAGTTATAGCTACTAAAAGGCCTTCTATTGTCGTAAATCTTCCACCAAGAGTACCACCCACAGACTCGAAATCCAGTTCAGGCAGTTTAACAGCTGCAGTTTCTGACACCAGTATATCCCGTGATAAGTCGCATATATTTGTAATTCGTAATTTGTAATGTCTGCCTTTTGGCGAAACTCCACCACCGGATCGAACTTCACAATCCCTATAACCACAGACTGGGCAGTTGATTGCCATCAGTATTACCTCTTTAAAATGAGGAATATCTGTATAGTTTGAAAAGTGATAAAATAAATATTAAGCCAATATACTATCAGTACAATAGAATCAAATATTAAAATACTTCATCAAAAAAAAGCAAGTAGAAATACCGTAATGTAAAGAAAATTCTGTAAATATAAAAGATCTATACATTTTTTTTTGTCAAACAGCTTCAGTGACCAAGTATACTTATTTCATCCTATATAACCAACTAACAATGAAATCGTTAAGATAACAATATGATAAGAGAAATCTGTGCAAATAAACTGTAAATATAAAGAACCAAAGGAAGATGACTACAGAAACAAAGTATACAACTGTGTAGAAGACCTAGAAATAGATTGAAAACGTAGGTGTGTTTGTTGGAGAGTTAATTTTACGTATGTCGAATGAGATTTTCCAGCCCATTGTTTCCCATATAAAAGCAGAGCAACAATTATTGATTTAATGCAGTAGTATCAAGCTTTTATTTAATAATTGTTTTAATTCGTAACTGTTTTGGTTCGATATAGGTATGATGGCACGTACTTCTAAAACGAGGGAGTAATCAAATGTGCAAGGACTAAAACTCAACAATGACAACAGAATGCAAGTAAGAAGAGGGTAGATTGGAATTATTAACGGTCTCAGGTAAACACAGCGGATTAAGCAAGCATTAAAGTATACATAATGTTTTACAAGACAAAATAACCCATAAGAATAGGTGATATTGGCGAGTCACAAAACAATTATTGGATATAAACGGTTACAGTAATAATTTTGCTGTAGAAGTTTCAACAGATTACATTATCGATTTGGGTAAACCCCAACACACTCCATTTACAGTAAGAAAGAAATCGACCAATTACAGGTATACTGGGCATGGGATTAAATCGGTTTCCTCCATGGGTGAAGTACTAGAACGATTTGTTATGAAATTTGATAGTTAGATGGTGAAGATCCATTTTACCCTGGACAAGAGCGATGGTTGGTCTAATGTTAGTCAAATATGGATGTATGTGATTGCATTTCAGTGGCACATGATGGTCACCTGAAAAGTGAACCGACAATAAAAGCTGTCTAGCAGTAAACAGAGGGGCTGACATGTGTTTACTGTGACCTAGTTGCAGGAAACTGAGATGAAATTTGAGTGAGTAGGAAGAAAATGATTAAGGGAAACCTCAATTAATTTGAAATATTAATCAATTAGTTACTCAAATTCGTATACTTGTCGCAAGTGCTGTAATTTGTATAATGAATGGGCAAGACGAAAAAAGAAAATAGTATCACGTAATGGAGACTACATTTAAAAAACACACCATAATAGCTTCTACATCTGACTGATAGATGGTTCCTTGTGAGAACATCAGTTCATGTTGCCATACCAAATTAGCACAAAGACGCAATTGTCCATTCAAATCCCATAGTGGTAGAGATAGTAGAAGAATTACTGATAATGGAGAAGATTAGGATTTGAAGATAATATTCAAGTATAGTTTAGTGAGGTGAATTTAGAAAGACAAAGTTGGAGGTGTTGACCAATCCAGAAGATTAAGAAATGAGAGGACACAAAGAATAAATGCACCGGGGTCATTGCAAACGATTCTGAACAATGTCATTCAAGGTCTCTAACCGTCGGTGACTTGCGTCTCGCGGACCCCGACTAGGTAGCCTACATCTACCAACATGACTTAGTCCACTTGTCAGTGGCTTCATGGATTCGTGCCACGTTTTCGTTTGCCGCCCCTAGCTTTCTTCCAACTGACTCCTACACCACAAAACATAGCTCATGGAGGCAGTCGCTGGTTAGAATTGTGCGCTGTCCGACTAAACGTGACGGTACGGACTCAGAAGGATAGGGACACTTGCCAGTATCTTCGTTGCGTCTTCCTACGCTCTCACTGACTGCAGTTCAGACGAGATGAAAGATAAGTTCTATAGAAAGCTTTCGTGGCTCCACCATAATGTTAGTCACTCTAATATAAACCTAATGGCTGGTGAATTTTTTGCTCACGTAAGTAGCCTAAGTGAGCAGGAAAGACACCTAGGTGGATCTTATGATGTCGCGCGTCAGAGAACAGATAATGGTGAGCGTCTGTTGCAACTGTGTTCAGAAAACCGCCTATTTCTAGCAAACACTAACTTTAGGCATGGGTTAAAAAATCTCTTGACATGACGACGCCCAAAGTCGTCTCAACGTTGAACGCAACTAGATCATATCACAATCAGCCAATGATACTGAGGTTCAATGGAGGACACTTTCCACGGTGTAGACAGCCGGGGAGTGACAACCGCACTCATACCCGTAACAGCACACAAGACCAAATTGGTCGAAATCAAATCCTTTCTACACCCCCTAGTACCTCTCTTATTTCCACGAGTAATTCTTCCTACATTCATTTATCACAGTGCACAGCTAATGCAGACGACACGAGTTCTCGAAACATCGTTCCTGGTCTCCGTAAACCCGTTCTAAACTACACGTTGGGGAATTAAAGGTACGGACATTATGTCAAATAGGGCAACAAGCTTCCTTAGCTAGGACTTTAGAATCTCGTGCCATCGATGTATGCTGCGTCTCAGAAACGCGCATACAGGATCCGAGTAGCATCATTCACTCGACCTCACCATGTCAAGATAAAGAAGCAACTCGATTTACTCTTCGTGTATCTGGAAGCTCTGATGCTGCCCTCAGGGGTCTTGCTGGCGTAGGCATAGCATTGAGTCGTAGAGCTGAACAATCTCTCTTAGACTGGATCCCAGTAGATAGTCGTTTGTGCGCTGTCCGACTAAACGGGACAGTAAGGACTCGGAAGGATAGGGACACTCGCCGTTGCCTCTACGTCATATCTGCCTATGCCCCGACTGACTGCAGTTCAGACGAGGTTAACGATGAGTCTTACAGAAAGCTTTTAGACCTCCTCCGAGAAGTTAAGCTCTCTGATGTAGTAATAATGGCTGGTGACTTTAATGCTCAGGTAGGTAGACTAAGTGAGCAGGAGACACCTAGGTGGATGTTATGATGTCGTGGCTCAGAGAACAGACAATGGCGACCGTCTGTTGCAAGTATGCTCAGATAACCGCCTATTCTTAGCAAACACTAACTTTAGGCATAAGGAAAAGCATCTGTTGACCTGGCGACCTTCATAGTCGTCTCAACGTTGGACTCAACTAGATCACATCGCCATTGGCCACCGATGGAGGTGTTCGATAGAGGACTGTCGCTCGTTCTGGGGCACATGTTTAGATTCAGATCATGCTGTAAGGCGAGCGCGTATCTGTTTGAGGCCTACTGGACGTAGGAAAGAAACCGTAGGGAACCCTCTTAGGCTTTTACTTAATGATAATCAAACTAAGAAAATATTTCAGGAGCAACTAGAAAGAGAGTTAAGCAACAATTTAAGCGATTCCCATCCAGAAGCAGGTTGGTATGATATCAAAAAGGCTATGAAAACAGCAGTGATATCTTCTAATAAGGTAAACCATAAGGCTAGAATGAAGTCGTGGATCTCAGTAGCATCTACCGAACTGATGGATGCTCGAAAACTCATCCTACCTGGCTCTGAACATGACAAAGAGAGAAGTCAGCTTAAGCTCGGGCTGATATAAAGCCTACGCAACGATCGCGAAAAGTGGTGGATAGCGAAAGCAAGGGAGATGGAACAGGCGACGGCGATTGGCAACAGTGGCCAACTATTCAGACTCATCAACGAAACCGGTATTAGGAATCCGAATGTGAGTGAAACTATCTCGGAAAATGATGGGACTATTATTTATACTCAATCCAGGAGACTGGATCGATGGGCAGAACACACATTTAGGCGTCCAACAATAGTTGTTTTCCTGGACCTAAAATCGGCATTTGACTCAGTGGATCGTGAGGTTCTGTGGCAGTGTCTGTCATTGAAAGGTGTACCAAAGAAGTACATTAACCTCATACAAGCTCTCTACTCGAACACCACTTGTCGAGTGAGAGCTTATGGCGAACTGTCACCGGAATTCCCAACATCAAGTGATGTCCGTCAGTGTTGTCCACTCTCCCCATTCTTGTTCAATTTCATCATAGACATGCTCCTAGAAATAACCTTATCCTCGTCTGAATTTTCAAGAGTAGACCTTCTAACAGTTGGCTCGCTTATTGACTTAGAATATGCCGATGACATTGTCCTACTTGGTGAAGATGCTGAAAAAATGCAGAGTCTTCTGACTACCCTGAGCAACAATGCAAGCATGTTCGGAATGCGGCTTTCCTCGTCGAAATGTTGCTTCAAGACTAGGTTGCATCGGCACCTGAACTAGTGATAGGGAGTGAAGTAGTCGAGCGTGTAGACCGCTTCACTGATCTTGGGAGTCTGATCAGTGCCGATGGCCTGTTGACTGAGGAAATCTCAGCTCGAATACAGAAGGCTCGATTGACTTTTGACAACCTGCGTCACTTATGCCGAAGCCGAGATATCCATTTGTTAACCGAAATTTGAGTGTACTGCTGAGCAGTTCGCTCCGTCCTTCTATATGTTTGCGAAACATGGCTGGTGAGATTAGAGAGCATTCGTAGGCTATTAGTATTCGATTATAGATGCTTTCTAAGCATTACTCGTATATCCAGGGACAACCGAGTAAGCAATGTTATAGTTTGGAAGCGAGTACTAGGTTGGGATGGAAGGTCAATATATGAAGTAATGAAACTCCATCAGTTGAGGTGGTTGGGACATGTGTTACGTATGCCTAACCACCGACTGACTCGTCGAGCTTTGTTTTGTAGTGTAGGAATAGGTTGGAAGAAAGCTAGGGGCGGCCAGACCAAAACATGGCACAAATTCATGAAGTCACTGACAAGTGGACTCAGTCATGTCGGTAGGTGTCGACTCCCTGATTGGGGTCCGCGAGATGATAATAATCGACGGTTAGAGACCCTGAGTGACACGGCTCGAAACCCTTTGCAATGGCGCAGGTGCATTCATTCATTGTGTTCTCTCAAATTCTAACCTTCTGAATTCCTCATCACCTCTATCTTTCTCTTTCTAGATTTACCTCACTGACTTATACTTTTCGATTCATATCTTCGCTCCCTAATCTTCTCCATTACTATTAATACTTTTACTACCTCTACTACTATGGGATTTGAAGTGACAATTATATCTCTATACCAATGTGGTATAGCAACTTGAAATGCTGTACTTACGTGCAAAGTTCTACCTTGCTGTTGATGATGAAAACGTTATGGCTAATAGAAGCTCAATTAATTTAGCTTAGAAACTTCCTTCGTTTTTCCATGTTACTCATTACTTTCATAAATTTATAAAAGTTGTGAAACCACTTACCAACAACTTTCATTTTGTTGTCAGTAACAGCATTGCACGATGGACAATTGACATTCAAAGACAACACTTCATCCTTTTCGATTTCCGGGGCTACGTTATTTGGCTCCTATGATTAATCGTAATAACAATAGTAATAATTACAATAGATAAACTAAAATGATCGAACTACTCAAAAATTTATACAAATCTAATAAAGAGATGATAACCTACTTTTTCGATAGTTTTAGTATCAGATGCATCATTTAGTTGTTCAGTTGGTTGAAGACCAAGTAATTCGTTTTGATCTGGAGTGCGTTCATATGTCTCAATTACAATTTGCGGATCATCATCTGGAGCTAAGTAGTTTTCAATGAATCCATTTCCTGATGGATCATCTATAACCTAAATAATTGCAAAGTGAATGTACTAATCAATACAGATGAGTGACATCAATATGAGAAAAATATGTTACACTAGATTGTCTTTTAGTTTACGTACACATTTCAAGTGACATCAATGAAGTGAGACAGAAATACATCCACAAGAAATACGCATCCTCGATTGAATTAAAAACTGTGAAAAAGTGTTTACTTGTGCAACTCAGATATCTGGAATTCAGCTTATTGCACCTATGCCAATCAGTCAGTCAGTCACTCAGATGCAACGTAGAACTTCGTACGTAAGTAAATCAGTTCAAGTTGCCACACCACATCAGCATAGAGACATAATTGTCAATTCAAATCCAATAGGAGCAGAGATAATTAAGGTACTAGAAGTAATCAGAGAGGTTAGGATTAGAAGATATTCAAGAAATGTGATTCAGTGAGAAAAGTTTAGAAAGTCAAAACTAGAGGGGTTGAAGAATCCAGAAGATTAGGATTTGACAGAACACAATGAACGAATGCACCTGCGCCATTGCAAACGATTTTGTAAGTCATAATAGAATTCGATCATACACACCTTTGAAGCACTGATAACACATCTTGGGACCATTGAGCTAGCAACTGAGTTTAAATGCACGCTTTTACGTAACTGCGGAAATTTGGTCAGTATTATAGTGAATCGCTATCAGCCGAGATGATTAAAACATATATTACATAAGTCTATACATCTTCCATATCGATGTGCAACGATAGCTAGTGTAGGAGTACGCTGGAAGACTAAGGGTAGCCAAACCAAGACGTAGCGTCAGTCTCAGGAGAATGCCTACTGGACTGAGCCATATAAGTAGGATGAGGAGGAACGATATCATATAATACCTGTCATGGAAAATAACAGCAGTTAATCAGCCACCACCATAGCAACTATAACAATTGTGTTTCATTTCAAGTCAGTCATTCAATCAGCTACAACGTAGAACTTCGTACCTACGTACATCAGTTCAGGTTGCCATATCACATCAGCACGGAGATGCCACTATCAGTTTAAATCCAATAGTGGTAGCGATAGTAGAAGTATTAGTAGTAATGGAGAAGATTAGGGAGCGAAGATATGAATCGAAAAGTATAAGTCAGTGAGGTAAATCTAGAAAGAGAAAGATAGAGGTGATGAGGAATTCAGAAGGTTAGAATTTGAGAGAACACAATGAATGAATGCACCTGCGCCATTGCAAAGGGTTTCGAGCCGTGTCACTCAGGGTCTCTAACCGTCGATTATTATCATCTCGCGGACCCCAATCAGGGAGTCGACACCTACCGACATGACTGAGTCCACTTGTCAGTGACTTCATGAATTTGTGCCATGTTTTGGTCTGGCCGCCCCTAGCTTTCTTCCAACCTATTCCTACACTACAAAACAAAGCTCGACGAGTCAGTCGGTGGTTAGGCATACGTAACACATGTCCCAACCACCTCAACTGATGGAGTTTCATTACTTCATATATTGACCTTCCATCCCAACCTAGTACTCGCTTCCAAACTATAACATTGCTTACTCGGTTGTCCCTGGATATACGAGTAATGCTTAGAAAGCATCTATAATCGAATACTAATAGCCTACGAATGCTCTCTAATCTCACCAGCCATGTTTCGCAAACATATAGAAGGACGGAGCGAACTGCTCAGCAGTACACTCAAATTTCGGTTAACAAATGGATATCTCGGCTTCGGCATAAGTGACGCAGGTTGTCAAAAGCCAATCAAGCTTTTCGGTGCTCTCTCTCTCGCTTCAGATTTCTTATCGCTTTCTCAACTTCATAAAGACTAGGAGGACTTACATCGATTTGCCATTCGGGATGACTGGAAATTGTGGACAACCGAAGTGTGGCTGTAGAACAGTAGAACTGAACGGTTAAGTGTTCTGCCCATCGATCCAATCTCCTGGATTGAGTATAAATAATAGTCCCATCATTTTCCGAGATAGTTTCACTCACATTCGGATTCCTAATACCGGTTTCGTTGATGAGTCTGAATAGTTGGCCACTGTTGCCTATCGCCGTCGCCTGTTCCATCTCCCTTGCTTTCGCTATCCACCACTTTTCGCGATCGTTGCGTAGGCTTTATATCAGCCCGAGCTTAAGCTGACTTCTCTCTTTGTCATGTTCAGAGCCAGGTAGGATGAGTTTTCGAGCATCCATCAGTTCGGTAGATGCTACTGAGATCCACGACTTCATTCTAGCCTTATGGTTTACCTTATTAGAAGATATCACTGCTGTTTTCATAGCCTTTTTGATATCATACCAACCTGCTTCTGGATGGGAATCGCTTAAATTGTTGCTTAACTCTCTTTCTAGTTGCTCCTGAAATATTTTCTTAGTTTGATTATCATTAAGTAAAAGCCTAAGAGGGTTCCCTACGGTTTCTTTCCTACGTCCAGTAGGCCTCAAACAGATACACGCTCGCCTTACAGCATGATCTGAATCTAAACATGTGCCCCAGAACGAGCGACAGTCCTCTATCGAACACCTCCATCGGTGGCCAATGGCGATGTGATCTAGTTGAGTCCAACGTTGAGACGACTATGAAGGTCGCCAGGTCAACAGATGCTTTTCCTTATGCCTAAAGTTAGTGTTTGCTAAGAATAGGCGGTTATCTGAGCATACTTGCAACAGACGGTCGCCATTGTCTGTTCTCTGAGCCACGACACCATAACATCCACCTAGGTGTCTCCTGCTCACTTAGTCTACCTACCTGAGCATTAAAGTCACCAGCCATTATTACTACATCAGAGAGCTTAACTTCTCGGAGGAGGTCTAAAAGCTTTCTGTAAGACTCATCGTTAACCTCGTCTGAACTGCAGTCAGTCGGGGCATAGGCAGATATGACGTAGAGGCAACGGCGAGTGTCCCTATCCTTCCGAGTCCTTACTGTCCCGTTTAGTCGGACAGCGCACAAACGACTATCTACTGGGATCCAGTCTAAGAGAGATTGTTCAGCTCTACGACTCAATGCTATGCCTACGCCAGCAAGACCCCTGAGGGCAGCATCAGAGCTTCCAGATACACGAAGAGTAAATCGAGTTGCTTCTTTATCTTGACATGGTGAGGTCGAGTGAGTGATGCTACTCGGATCTTGTATGCGCGTTTCCGAGACGCAGCATACATCGATGGCACGAGATTCTAAAGTCCTAGCTAAGGAAGCTTGTTGCCCTATTTGACATAATGTCCGTACATCAAAGGCTCCAACATGTAGTCCAGAACGGGGTTTCAAGAGACCAGGAATGACGTTTCGTGAACTCGCTTCGTCTGCATTAGCGGTGCAGTGAATAAAGGGACTGTGAGTAGAGTTCGTTGTGGAGAGAAGAGAGGTGTGTGTTGGTGTAGGAAGGATTTGATTTCGACCAATTTGGTCTCGTGTGCTGTTACGGGTATGAGGACGGTTGTCACTTCCAGGCTGCCCACACCGTGGAACGTTGTTTCTTGAGGGACCTGAAAAGGAAGATAGGTTAGTGTTGGTCTTCGAGACCTGGGAGCGTGACCGCAGAGCCCAACGGACAACTGCTTGAGGCCGGTCACGCACGACCTTTCCATGAAGTTTTTTGAGTAATAGCTTCGCTCTTAAAAGCCCTTAGTGGGCACCCTTACCGACGGAGACGGAAATCCGTGAGGGAGGGTGAGGTGTGACATTTTTAGGGTCGACCTTTTCTAACCCTCCCTTCCTTGTCAGAAGGCAGCATCGCTGCAGATGCTGGTTGTCCGAGGGAAACACCTTACTGCCGTCACACCCCTCTACAGTCAGCAGTACGACTGCGCCCTCAGACCTTGGGTAGCTGCTTGTAGTCTGATCGTTTTCCAATCGACCTCCCTGGCATGGTAGGGCCTTCAGGAACATATGTTCCAGCCAGTAAAGCTCGGATGGGTCATCACGATACGCAAGCCCTGCCACCACGTCAAGGTAGCAGCTACGGTCGGGCATCTATGCCAATAAAGCAAAACAGATGGCATTTTCAGAATGTCATTTAGCAAATGTCTACATGATACTGTAGTTCGGTATACGGAAACTGAATTGAAAAGGAAAGCATCAGAAAATTAAATAATAGATTATGGATATTTGTTCGTAATAATCGCTCTTTTAGATAAGTCTAAAGAATGTTTTTATGGACTTCATCCAAGATAATAAACCTCTAATCATCAATTTAATAACGTCACAGGACTTGAATCTACAGGTTATTCATTAAAACTTCCTGAATACACTTTTACTAACTGAAAAAATGGTAGTAAACTGTTATTTGAACTTAGGAATTCGTGGTAAGATCGAGCAAAATATATTCCTTATTACAAATATAGGGAAACAATGATCACATTTTTATACGCTGAGAAGCGCCAGAGTGCTTCATTCTAGAATGAATTTTTCTTAATAATACATCTAACTCATGAAAACTATTTTAAAGTAAAGATCAATTCTACGAAAGGCTGCAGGCAATCGTCGATAAATGTTCACCAAAGGATTTGACGATTCTTATGGGAGACCTGAATGCCAAGGTTGGAATGGACAACACTGGATATGAAGACATCATGGGACGACATGGACTGGGAGAAAGGAACGAAAATGGTGAGAGATTTGCAAACCTAAGTGCCTTCAACAAACTGGTCATCGGTGGCACAATATTCCCGCACAAACGCATTCACAAAGCCACATGGATTTCACCGGACCACACTACTCAAAACCAAATTGACCATATCTGTATCAACAAAAAGTTCAGAAGGACCATGGAGGATGTGAGAACCAAGAGAGGAGCTGATATAGCTTCAGATCACCACTTGCTGATCGCCAAAATGAGATTGAAGCTAAAGAAGCACTGGACAACGGGGCAGACAACATCAAAGAAGTTTAATACGGCCTTTCTTCGGGATACTGTAAAGCTCAACGAATTCAGGATAGCCCTCACCAATAGGTTCCAGGCCTTTCAGGATCTACTCAATGGAGAGGACGCAACATTGGAGAACAATTGGAAAGGGATTAAGGAGGCAATCACTTCAACATGTCAGGAGGTCCTTGGTCGCAAGAAGCATTATCACAAGGAATGGATCTCTGTTGGTACTCTTGCAAAAATTGAAGAAAGGAAGAACAAGAAGGCAGCAATCAATGTCAGCCGAACAAGAGCAGAGAAAGTTACCGCACAAGCTGCATACACAGAAGCAAACAGACAAGTGAAGAAGAGCATCAAAGCTGACAAACGAAAATATGTGGAAGATCTAGCAATGACGGCGGAAAAGGCTGCAAGAGAAGCAAACTTGAGACAATTGTACGAAACAACAAAGAAGCTCGCCGGAAACTATCGTAAACCAGAACGACCAGTGAAAAGCAAGGAAGGGAAAATAATCAGCAACACTGACGAACAGCGAAATGGGTGGGTGGAGCACTTTAAGGAACTCTTGAATCGACCAGCTCCACTGAACCCACCCAACATCGAAGCAGCATCCACGGATCACCCAATTAATATTGGCGCACCTACGATTGAGGACATCAGTATGGCCATCAGACAAATCAAGAATGGCAAAGCAGCAGGACCAGACAACATTCCAGCAGAGGCAATGAAAGTAGATGTAGAAGCAACTGCGAAAATATTTCACATTCTCTTCAAGAAGATTTGGGATGAGGAACAAGTACCATCAGATTGGAAAGAAGGATACCTCATCAAAATACCAAAGAAAGGCGATCTCAGCAAGTGTGAGAACTACAGAGGAATCACTCTTCTCTCAATAACAGGCAAAGCCTTCAACAGGGCATTGTTAAACAGAATGAAGGACTTCGTAGACGCCCAACTTCGAGATCAACAGGCCGGATTTCGTAAGGATCGATCGTGTACTGACTAAATTGCTACATTACGGATCATTGTGGAGCAATCAATAGAATGGAACTCACCACTCTACATCAACTTCATCGACTACGAGAAAGCATTCGATAGCGTGGGTAGGAAAACACTGTGGAGGCTTCTTCGACACTACGGTGTGCCTGAGAAGATAGTTAACATCATACGGAATTCTTATGATGGATTCAATTGCAAAATCGTGCACGGAAGACAGCTAACAGACTCTTTTGAAGTGAAGACCGGTGTCAGGCAAGGTTGTTTACTCTCACCCTTTCTCTTTCTCCTGGTCATCGACTGGATTATGAAGACGTCGACATCTGGAGGGAAGCACGGTATCAACTGGACAGTTGGGACGCAGCTGGACGATCTGGAATTCGCAGATGATCTGGCTCTTCTATCACACACGCAACGACAAATGCAAGAGAAGACGACCAGTGTAGCAGCAGCAGTAGGTCTCAACATACATAAAGGAAAAAGCAAAATTCTCCGATGCAATACAACATACAACAACCAAATCACTCTTGATGGAGAGGCCTTGAAGGACGTTAACACCTTTACATATATTGGCAGCATCATCGACGAGAAAGGTGGGGATCCGATGCAGATGTGAGGGCGCGGATTGGCAATGCAAGGGCTGCATTTCTACAGTTGAAAAATATCTGGAACTCCAAACAAATATCAACCAACACCAAAATCAGAATTTTCAATACAAATGTCAAGACAGTTCAACTGTATGGAGCGGAAACTTGGAGAACTACGAAAGCCATGATCCATAAGATACAAGTGTTTATTAACAGCTGTCTACGCAAAATACTTCGTATTCGTTGGCCAGACACGATCAGCAACAACGATTTGTGGGGGAGAACAAACCAGATTCCAGTGGAGGAGGAAATCAGGAAGAAGCGGTGGAAGTGGATAGGACACACTACGAAAAGCACCTAACTGCGTCACGAGACAAGGCCTCACATGGAACCCTCAAGGCAAAAGGAAAAGAGGAAGGCCAAAGAATACATTACGCCGAGAAATAGAAAAAGATATGAAAGGAATGAACAAACACTGGACAGAACTGGAGAGAGAAGCCCAGGACAGAGTTGGTTGGAGAAAACTGGTGGGCGGCCTATGCTCCATTGGGGGTAACAGGCGTAAGTAAGTAAGTAAGTAAGCAGGGAAAACGTTGGAAAGTAGCTGACGAGCCCATATAGTTAATCTAATCCTCATTTTGACCTATGTGCCTTTTTTTAGTTGATTAGTGGAGGGGGACTGATTAGTTCCACTTAACAGTTACATGACGCTCAGTAAAAGTTAACGCATTCATTTAGTTATTAGTAATCAAGTTAGAGTTTCATACACGGTTTTCAGCTGCACGTTTTCAAAGGCTAGCGATACTACCTGGCTGTTTGGGATTCAAGCACATGGAATTTAATGATACATTAAATCTATAGTCTGTAACATTATGTGACAAATAAAGGATATTATAAATTGTCTAAAACGGTAAGATACCACTGGGCTTAAAACTGTTAACATGAAATCGAGTAATAGAATACTACTAGACTTACAAATGAGAATCGCTTCTCCACCTTTAACAGAGTACGTAACTGATCAATGAAGTTTTCAATTTTTAAAGCCAAATCAGGTTGATTTTTCTATCGACGTTTTTAGATAATTTTAAAATATACCTTTCTTTCTGGTTGTAAACTATTCAAATTATCCATGAATATTGTAACAATTCCTTCGACCGTTGATACAGCTTTAAAAATTAAAGGAAGTGTGTAAAAAGGAGTAACAGGTAACTGAACTATAAGTATTTTAGTAACAGCTGAAAGATATGAACCACGAATAAAGGTTGTATGTGCGTTAACATGATGTCAGTGAATTTTAGAAGTACTTTTATTGACCACTTTTTAAAAACAACCAGTGGGTCACTGAACTATTTCAGAAAGAATGATTGTAAGTGGTGTTAGATGGGGTTGTCCAACTGCTCCACTTTTACTCAACTTTTTCATAGACATTCTCTTTTACAGATAACACTCATACTTTGACTTTGTAGGAATGGATTTCATACCAGGAGATTCACTTGTCTACCTAAAATATGATGATGACAGTCTTATGAGAAGACACCGACATGATGTAGTCCTACGAACATCTTAATCAAAAACGAGAAGTTCAGGATGTATTTCTCTGCCTTTAAATGCAAAGTGTTGTTCTGGGATAGGTTTGCATCAAGGTCTTAAACAGTGACAGGAAATGAAATAACTGAGCGCGTCAGTCATTTATCTTTAAAGTCTCATCATACCCGGAGGGTTGATGTCTGATAAAATCTCCGTTGGCTTTTAACCAGATTGCTTCACCTGTGGCGGCTGCGAGATACCTTGACTATCAACTGTATGAAAAATATACAATACAGCTGTCTGTTCTGTTTTATTTTATGGCTGTGAAACATGACCTTAAAAAATAGGTGTTTGTAAGTCATACTAGAATTCGATCATACACACCTTTGAAGCACTGATAACACATCTTGGGACCATTGAGCTAGCAACTGAGTTTAAATGCACGCTTTTACGTAACTGCGGAAATTTGGTCAGTATTATAGTGAATCGCTATCAGCCGAGATGATTAAAACATATATTACATAAGTCTATACATCTTCCATATCGATGTGCAACGATAGCTAGTGTAGGAGTACGCTGGAAGACTAAGGGTAGCCAAACCAAGACGTAGCGTCAGTCTCAGGAGAATGCCTACTGGACTGAGCCATATAAGTAGGATGAGGAGGAACGATATCACATAATACCTGTCATGGAAAATAACAGCAGTTAATCAGCCACCACCATAGCAACTATAACAATTGTGTTTCATTTCAAGTCAGTCATTCAATCAGCTACAACGTAGAACTTCGTACCTACGTACATCAGTTCAGGTTGCCATATCACATCAGTACGGAGATGCCACTATCAGTTTAAATCCAATAGTGGTAGCGATAGTAGAAGTATTAGTAGTAATGGAGAAGATTAGGGAGCGAAGATATGAATCGAAAAGTATAAGTCAGTGAGGTAAATCTAGAAAGAGAAAGATAGAGGTGATGAGGAATTCAGAAGGTTAGAATTTGAGAGAACACAATGAATGAATGCACCTGCGCCATTGCAAAGGGTTTCGAGCCGTGTCACTCAGGGTCTCTAACCGTCGATTATTATCATCTCGCGGACCCCAATCAGGGAGTCGACACCTACCGACATGACTGAGTCCACTTGTCAGTGACTTCATGAATTTGTGCCATGTTTTGGTCTGGCCGCCCCTAGCTTTCTTCCAACCTATTCCTACACTACAAAACAAAGCTCGACGAGTCAGTCGGTGGTTAGGCATACGTAACACATGTCCCAACCACCTCAACTGATGGAGTTTCATTACTTCATATATTGACCTTCCATCCCAACCTAGTACTCGCTTCCAAACTATAACATTGCTTACTCGGTTGTCCCTGGATATACGAGTAATGCTTAGAAAGCATCTATAATCGAATACTAATAGCCTACGAATGCTCTCTAATCTCACCAGCCATGTTTCGCAAACATATAGAAGGACGGAGCGAACTGCTCAGCAGTACACTCAAATTTCGGTTAACAAATGGATATCTCGGCTTCGGCATAAGTGACGCAGGTTGTCAAAAGCCAATCAAGCTTTTCGGTGCTCTCTCTCTCGCTTCAGATTTCTTATCGCTTTCTCAACTTCATAAAGACTAGGAGGACTTACATCGATTTGCCATTCGGGATGACTGGAAATTGTGGACAACCGAAGTGTGGCTGTAGAACAGTAGAACTGAACGGTTAAGTGTTCTGCCCATCGATCCAATCTCCTGGATTGAGTATAAATAATAGTCCCATCATTTTCCGAGATAGTTTCACTCACATTCGGATTCCTAATACCGGTTTCGTTGATGAGTCTGAATAGTTGGCCACTGTTGCCTATCGCCGTCGCCTGTTCCATCTCCCTTGCTTTCGCTATCCACCACTTTTCGCGATCGTTGCGTAGGCTTTATATCAGCCCGAGCTTAAGCTGACTTCTCTCTTTGTCATGTTCAGAGCCAGGTAGGATGAGTTTTCGAGCATCCATCAGTTCGGTAGATGCTACTGAGATCCACGACTTCATTCTAGCCTTATGGTTTACCTTATTAGAAGATATCACTGCTGTTTTCATAGCCTTTTTGATATCATACCAACCTGCTTCTGGATGGGAATCGCTTAAATTGTTGCTTAACTCTCTTTCTAGTTGCTCCTGAAATATTTTCTTAGTTTTATTATCATTAAATTGGTTGTAGAAGGACATTTGGCTTGTGCAATTTCAGTCCACTATTAGGCTTAAGAATAACAGAAAATGGAATTCCTGGCATTTTACGGCTTAGTCGCTTCTGTGGAAAAAATATCTATTTCGCAGTGTTTTATTTCTAACCAAACTGTAAATGGTGATTGTCCTCTAATTTGTAAATTGTCTATCATATCACTTTTGGTAATTTTAGTACAATTATTTTAGATTGCATCTGGCAAAAGACTCAACGTATTATTTGAACTAAATGATCCTGCTGGGAATAGTTACATTCAGGTAAGAGTAAATCATAAATTAATGCTGGGTACATGTCACTTTACGTATTAAAATAAATTGAGTTACTTCTTTATCTTGACAAGGTGAGGTCGAGTGAATGATGCTACTCGGATCTTGTATGCGCGTTTCCGAGACGCAGCATACATCGATGGCACGAGATTCTAAAGTCCTAGCTAAGGAAGCTTGTTGCCCTATTTGACATAATGTCCGTACATTAAAGGCTCCAACATGTAGTCCAGAACGGGGTTTCAAGAGACCAGGAATGACGTTTCGTGAACTCGCTTCGTCTGCATTAGCGGTGCAGTGAATAAAGGGACTGTGAGTAGAGTTCGTTGTGGAGAGAAGAGAGGTGTGTGTTGGTGTAGGAAGGATTTGATTTCGACCAATTTGGTCTCGTGTGCTGTTACGGGTATGAGGACGGTTGTCACTTCCAGGCTGCCCACACCGTGGAACGTTGTTTCTTGAGGGACCTGAAAAGGAAGATAGGTTAGTGTTGGTCTTCGAGACCTGGGAGCGTGACCGCAGAGCCCAACGGACAACTGCTTGAGGCCGGTCACGCACGACCTTTCCATGAAGTTTTTTGAGTAATAGCTTCGCTCTTAAAAGCCCTTAGTGGGCACCCTTACCGACGGAGACGGAAATCCGTGAGGGAGGGTGAGGTGTGACATTTTTAGGGTCGACCTTTTCTAACCCTCCCTTCCTTGTCAGAAGGCAGCATCGCTGCAGATGCTGGTTGTCCGAGGGAAACACCTTACTGCCGTCACACCCCTCTACAGTCAGCAGTACGACTGCGCCCTCAGACCTTGGGTAGCTGCTTGTAGTCTGATCGTTCTCCAATCGACCTCCCTGGCATGGTAGAACCTTCAGGAACATATGTTCCAGCCAGTAAAGCTCGGATGGGTCATCACGATACGCAAGCCCTGCCACCACGTCTAGGTAGAAGCTAGGGTCGGGAATAACTCTCCTTTCTCCTGGACCAACGCTTCATTCGATCGTAGACATATTTGATGTAGTTTTACGGATAGAACACAAAAAGCCAATGGGAAATTAAGACAACTACATACAAAATGTTGTTAACCTAATATTTCAACATGCGGGGCTTGTTTTGATAACCTGGAGAAACAGATAGGTTTAACAGGTTGATATAAGCATAATTTTATCTCTTAGTACCGCATATTGTAACATATTACAAAAAAGAACAGATTTTAAGACATTCACTAAAAACCACTGTCTTGACCAACGAGAACAGTCGCTTTTTAGCTCTCTGTTACCAAATAAGGAATTTTTGACAGCTAAATTTCTACAAACGAAACTTAAGTATGGTGCTTAGCAAATACGTATTTTCTCCTTCACGTAGTAGTGCAGGAAGAAAACAAACATATAATTCAGCGATTAATTGTATTGTTTGGTCAGTTAAGTTCGGGTCATTGATTAACTACCAGTTAACTCATTCAGATGTTTTGATTAACCGGGTATTTAAGATATGTAATTTATTAATATTATTTACATTATTGCAAACATTGTTTAACCAGTGACTGCTGAATAAATCAGTATTCTTCAAGTTTTATTTTATTCCTTGTGTCAGCACAGCAGTCTCATTCTGCTTCAATAATTATCAGGCAACAGTTATTCTGCAGTCACAGTAAATAGCGAGTTAGTAGCAGAAATCAGTAATCAGTTTAAGTCAGAACACATATCAATCTTGTTCCAAGTAATTACAAGTACCAACTTACTGCTTAAAAAAACACGACACACTATCAATATGTAGCTAACACTTTAGTCAATATCCACTACTAAATTATTTTAATTGAAGAAAAGTAGGCGTTATCACAGATAAAATTACAACATTTTACATACACGAACCGGATGACTAGTAACTGCTAACAACCTACAATCACTAAATAGTAGAGAATAGTATAAAAACCAAGCACAACTTATAAGTGGAAAATACGCCCTGGTTATCTAAAAAATACTGAATACGAAATCGAACAATGATAAGACAAATATGTCAAAAGGTCAACAACTAAGCAATGAATCTAAGTCCTGTTAAGCTTTATCCCAATTAACATTATCATATTGATGAACATACATCATCTACCAGATCAAGAATGAATTTGATCCACACGAGTTGATTCAAATAACTAATATTACTAAAAGATCTACGGAAAAAATGACAAAATAGGTACATACCTAAATGTACTAAAATGCGGGTAGGAACACTAGCAAATAAAACTAACCTCCATCAGAAAAAGGAAATGAGGAATCGTATTCAGGAATACTAACTGTTGAACCTGCTGGTATAACAACACGTCTGTTTAAATCTTTCACGCTATTAACTTTGAGTGTTATGCGTTGCCCTTTATCTTGAACTTGCGCAGCTGGGGTAAGAGATCGATTCTCATAACCACAATGGGGACAACTGAAGGATGAGATGATAACATCTTTAAAATATGCAATTCTTGTTAACATAAGAAGCGTTGTGCCCTAAAATAGTCGAAGCAAAATATTATAAGATTGGTTATTTAGATAATGAAAATAAACAGATGACTACATGAACGAATCTAATGGCTATTGAAGTAAATTCTCTACATGTATAATCTGATAACTTTATGTAAGTATAAAGTAATACCCACTTAATGGTAGTATATAAATAAACTTTAATAAACTACTTCAGAACTGAGTAAGAATAATCAACATAGTGTAGAGAAAATAGTGAGTAGCATTTGTGAGGGTCTAAAATTTGATTAGATTGAACAAAAATGAGGATGTGCAAGCTGGCAATGAAATCGAATAACTAATTAAACTTACTTCTAGGACACTCGCGTGGGGAATGCTGTTCTTTGGAAAAGGGTATTAGGTAAGGATGATAGAACAACAGATGAAGTAGTGAATGTTCAGCAGTCCAGGTGGTTGAAACCTGTGTTACGAATGCCCAACCACCGATAGCCTCGAAGACCAATACTGTCTGGTGTAGGAGTAGGTTGGAAGAAAGCTAGGGACGGCCAAATCAAAACATGCACATATCCATGAAGCCACTGACAACTGGACTGAGCCATATTGGCAGATGTAGGCTGCCTGGTTGAAGTCCGCAAGACAATAGTTACCGAGGGTTAGAAACCTTGGTGATATGGCTCAAAATCGTTTGCAATGGAGCAGGTGCACCCATCTTTGGGACCTTCCAAATTCTAATCTAAACTCCCCATGACCTTCATCTTTCTCGTCTTAAATCCATTTCACTGGATTATACTTCTTGAATAATATCTTCGGAGATTACTGCTTATACTTTTACTACATTTATCACTATGGGATTTGAATCGACAATCGCATCTCTGTGACACCGTGGTATGGCAATATTAACCGATGTACGTACGTACGAAGTTCTACGTTGTAGCTGACTGACTAAATAAACAGCTTCAGTACAGTCAGTCGATGGTGGTGGCCGATGGCGATGTGATCTAGTTGAGTCCAACGTTGAGACGACTATGAAGGTCGCCAGGTCAACAGATGCTTTTCCTTATGCCTAAAGTTAGTGTTTGCTAAGAATAGGCGGTTATCTGAGCATACTTGCAACAGACGGTCGCCATTGTCTGTTCTCTGAGCCACGACACCATAACATCCACCTAGGTGTCTCCTGCTCACTTAGTCTACCTACCTGAGCATTAAAGCCACCAGCCATTATTACTACATCAGAGAGCTTAACTTCTCGGAGGAGGTCTAAAAGCTTTCTGTAAGACTCATCGTTAACCTCGTCTGAACTGCAGTCAGTCGGGGCATAGGCAGATATGACGTAGAGGCAACGGCGAGTGTCCCTATCCTTACGAGTCCTAACTTTCCCGTTTAGTCGGACAGCGCACAAGCGACTATCTACTGGGATCCAGTCTAGGAGAGATTGTTCAGCTCTACGACTCAATGCTATACATACACCAGAGAGATGCCTGGAAGCACCATCAAGGCTACCGGATACACGAAGAGTAAATCGAGTTGCTTCTTTATCTTGACATGGTGAGGTCAAGTGAATGATGCTACTCGGATCCTGTATGCGCGTTTCCGAGACGCAGCATACATCGATGGCACGAGATTCTAAAGTCCTAGCTAAGGAAGCTTGTTGCCCTATTTGACATAATGTCCGTACATTAAAGGCTCCAACATGTAGTCCAGAACGGGGTTTCAAGAGACCAGGAATGACGTTTCGTGAACTCGCTTCGTCTGCATTAGCGGTGCAGTGAATAAAGGGACTGTGAGTAGAGTTCGTTGTGGAGAGAAGAGAGGTGTGTGTTGGTGTAGGAAGGATTTGATTTCGACCAATTTGGTCTCGTGTGCTGTTACGGGTATGAGGACGGTTGTCACTTCCAGGCTGCCCACACCGTGGAACGTTGTTTCTTGAGGGACCTGAAAAGGAAGATAGGTTAGTGTTGGTCTTCGAGACCTGGGAGCGTGACCGCAGAGCCCAACGGACAACTGCTTGAGGCCGGTCACGCACGACCTTTCCATGAAGTTTTTTGAGTAATAGCTTCGCTCTTAAAAGCCCTTAGTGGGCACCCTTACCGACGGAGACGGAAATCCGTGAGGGAGGGTGAGGTGTGACATTTTTAGGGTCGACCTTTTCTAACCCTCCCTTCCTTGTCAGAAGGCAGCATCGCTGCAGATGCTGGTTGTCCGAGGGAAACACCTTACTGCCGTCACACCCCTCTACAGTCAGCAGTACGACTGCGCCCTCAGACCTTGGGTAGCTGCTTGTAGTCTGATCGTTCTCCAATCGACCTCCCTGGCATGGTAGGACCTTCAGGAACATATGTTCCAGCCAGTGAAGCTCGGATGGGTCATCACGATACGCAAGCCCTGCCACCACGTCAAGGTAGCAGCTAAACAGCTTGAGAACAGAAAAAATATCGCTTATCCTGAGTTAACTGTGAGATCAACTGCTTTTCGCGGCAGGGGGTTCGTAGAACGTCCCTGTTAGTCTTGTTACAGCATAAACAATTGAACTTTAGGTCAGTTCGAAACAAATGTACCACCACAACCCTCACCTCTCACAGAAAATATGGAGGTCAACTTCCGCAAATCACAACCAAGCAGCCAACGCGACTATTTAAATATATCGATTACAGCACAAGAAAGAACCTATGGATTCCCAATTTAATTACGGAACAGAGTGAGTCACAAAGAACAGATAAAGACCAAGACAGAACGAAAGCCATGGAAGATCATTTCGCAACAGAATGAAGGCATTAGACATAGGAAACTCAACAATTGTGAATTGACTACACCCCAGATTACTGAAATAACTCGCAATATACAATACTGCCCCTCTCAAGATATTAGTCATGGTAGACCGGAAGGATAAGACCTTTACTCTGATTACCGAAATGGGATCAAAGCAATTATGAAACCACAATGAAATCGATAATCAATCAATGCTAGGTCATCGTTGGAAACGTGGAAGAACTGGATGGCCGTTTCACCCTAGTACGGAACTCATCAACGGTGCCCACACGAACCCGTGAGCAAGAATTGAATCTAGGACATCCAGTCTAGCGCGTCAACGCCTGATATTTTCACTAATGAGCCAGTGTTAATAACTAATATCTTTGTTAGTTATTGCCTTATACCCAACATATGGAACTTACGGCCATAAGGAACCATTCCAGGTATTTGGTATGATACCCTACAATTTGGTTTGAACACTTGTTCACCAACGTCTTGCAAGTGGAAGATTTCTACTAAGCTTATTATAGGAAGGAACTAAACTAACCGCACAGGAATTAGTGCTAGGTTGATTTGATACTACTCCTTTGTATCATATTTCTAAGACATAATTGGAACATTTTTACACATTTTACTTGGTGAGCAAGTATAAATTTCAGTCAAACACTTACGTTCTTCAAGCATCTAGTGCATAGGCTTTCAATATTCAGAGGCATACAGTCGTTATCAGCACTTAGTTCTGTAATCATTTTATGGTGCCAAACTTTAAATAGGTCAGTACTAATCCCACAAAACCGTGCTTTTAGATGTGACGCAGCAGTAATCCCACCCGCACTTTTTAATCCAATTATCAAGATCCAATATCCAATATCTTTTTCGCCAGCTAGTGTAAACCAATTTGATTTCTTCGCGCTCAATTCTTGTTCTTTCGGTACGGTTCTATGTGTTCGGTAATGTCCAATGGATGGAGGTCTAGCCACTCGACTGTCTAATTCTAGTCAGTTGGCAGTTGGTTGTGAGTTTGTATGTTTCGGGATTTGAATGAAACGTTTGTTTCAGGGCAGTAGGGTTTCTGGATACTAGAGGCCGTCACATTACCAGACCGGAGATCAGTTAGTTGCAATGTGGAGAGTAATAAGGATAATAAGGATACAGTTCTAATGCTAATATGACTAAAATTTCAGAACTGAGTAATATATAGATGAATTTAGTTTATTAATTGGTAGTGAAGATTGTGAGAGAGGACCGAAGTGTAAGCAAGGGAGAGGAATAGGCGAGACAGATTAATTAAGTGATCTGAGGAGATGGCAATGGTAACAACTAGCAGGTCTCAAGATATGCATCAGGCACAGCATGTCCAAGACGGAGATGATAGTCCGCATGTGAGTACGTGATTATCAAGTCTCTTCTTAAAGCAGTCCACTGAGGGGGCTGTAACTACCTCGGCTGGGAGAGCATTCCAAGTTACGACGACTCTCAATGAGAAAAAGTGTGCACGTTTCTGGGTATTCGCTCTTTGATGTGCATTCTTTCGACGATTATCTCGAGGGGATTTGTGGTGATGCATCGGTAAGATGATCATTTTGGGGTGGTTTGGCGTGCTTAATATGTTCTACGCCATAATCAGATCACCGCTGATTCTCCTGTAGCTTAGTGAAATAATCCCAAGTGCTGGAGTCTATCGTCGTAAGGTTTATTTTTCAACCCTATCACCCATTTGGTTGCTTGTCGCTGCACTCGATCCAAGAGATTAATGTCTCTTTTAAGCAGAGGGGGTGCGATGACGTTGTGAACCTCCAAGTGTGAGCGCGCGTACGTCTTAAACAGGGTTAATAATAATTTCGCGGTGATAGCACCAAGCTGTCTTCGCATAAAGTGAAGAGTCACATTTGCCTTGGCTGCATCCCCTACATAGTTTGGACTGGTGTGGAGGCTTTCTGTGGTTATTAAACCAAGATCGCGCTCTGAGGAGACATTAGGGAGCGGACTTCCATTGAGAGTGTAGGTGGTTTGCGTCATATGAGGCAGGAAATGCATGACGTGGCACTTCGGTTGGTTGAGTTTTAAACCGTTTTTCACTGCCCATTTATCAATGGATGTAAGGTCCTTTTGAAGCTCAGTCGAATCCTCTTCGCTTCTAATGGACCTCCAGATCTTCGCATCGTCTGCGTAGATCAGTGCCGGTGAGCTAACTAAGCTTAGCAGGTCGTTAACGAATATCAGGAAGAGGAGTGGGCCTAGGATGGTCCCCTGTGAAACTCCTGAAGTGGATACTCTCCAACTCGCGTGCACCCTGTTTACCTTGGTGCGAAACTTTCTATTCTCAAGGTAGTTTCTGAGCCAAGATACGGGTGGGTCAGTGAAGCCCATTTCCACAACCTTTTCGATTGGGCGTGCGTGGGGCACTGTGTCAAAGGCTTTTGCGAAGTCTCGAAATACTACGTGCACTGGTATTTTACGGTCCAAGCAGGATGTCCAACTGTCCCATGCGATGAGAAGATTAGATGCACACGACCTGCCTTTGTAACAAGCTAGTAAAAAACCAACTTATCTCCAATATCCGATATCTTTTTCGCCAGCTAGTATAAACTAGCTAGTACAAACCAAATGAAATCTCTGCGCTCGATTCTCGATTTTTCTGTAAGGTTCCAGGTGTTAGGTAGTGGCCAATGAATGGGGGTCTAGCCACTAGATCGTCTAATTCCAGTCATTTGGCAGTTGGTTGTGAGTTTGTATGTCTCGGGATTTGAGTGAAAACGTTTGTTTCAGAGCTGCAGGGTTTCTCGACAGCAGCAGCTATCACACGACCATCGGAAATCAGTTAGTCGCAATGTGAAGAATAATCAGGAGAAAATGCTAATGCTTATAAGAAGAGCATTTCAGGACTAAGTAAATAATGGACAATTTAGTTGACAAATTGGTAGTCAATATTGTGCGAGATGACTAAAGTGTAAGCAATCCAGAGGAAACTGAGATAATAAGCGAAATAGATTAAGTTAGTGATCTGAGGAGATGACAATAATAACAACAAGCAACGACTTCTAATGCGAAAAAGTGTGCACGAACCTGAGTATTTGCTCTTTGATGTACAAGGTAAGATGCTCACGTTGGTATGGTTTGACGTTCCAAATAAGGTTTATGCCAAGATCAGATCACCTATGATTCTGTTGTTAGTCAGGGGGAATAATCCCAAGTGCTGGAGTCTATCTTCGTAAGGTTTGTTCTTCAACCTCATCTCCCGTTTTGTTGCTCGTCTCTGATCCAAGAGATTTATGTCTCTTTTCAGGAGAGGGAGTGAAACGACGTTGTGAAGCTCCAGGTGAGAAAATTGAACGGCCTGCATTTCCGAAACCCGTGTTGAGCTTCATCGAAGATTTTATTCTTGTCGATGTACTCTCATCTGTCCATTCATCATGCCCATCCAAGACTTTTGATAGTATTGTTGGTAATGCGACTGGACTGTAACAGGCTAGGTCCTTCCTATCTCCTCCTTTGAAGATTGGAGATAAAGTGGCTCGTTTCCATTCAGCTAGGAGTTGATGTGACTTCAGGGGTTGCCTGAACAAGTCACATACCGGTGAACAGAGAGCCTCTGCACACTGTTTCAAGACTATTGTCACAACCACCCGACTTTCTTGGGTGTAAGAACCTTAGTTTCCTCAGTAATAAATCAATGGTGAAGCCGATATTCCCAAAGCCGTCAGCTCGCACTGGGTTTGTGTGGTACTCTGAAGAGGTGGATGCCTGGTTTAACTGAACGGTGAAGTTGATGTTGAAGAACTCAGCCATATCTAGGTTTATGAGGTGTAGCGCGAATTGTAATAAAAGTACAACTTCGAGGGATAACTCATTTAAATACCGATAATCTAGAAGTCAAAGAAAAGACGATTCTAGATGAAGAAGTATATTTATTGCTAGCCTAGCGATATCGAAATAAAATCGAAGCTAGACGGTACGAAAGCGAATCGACTTGTCATCGAAAGTCTTCTGCGTTGATCTGTATCAGTAGTAACGTGCCAATTTTAGGGCTCAGGTTAGCATGTCACACCAGCGTGGCTCGTATTCAGAATCCGAATATTGCGTTTCTAAGGATTCGTGTCAGAAAAAGCTGTAGACGTAGGACGGAACCAGATTGAGAGAGGGAGCCAGAAACGACTAGAACGACCAAGCTCGAAACCAGACATATACCAGAACATTCGAAACCAAAACATCGACTGAGTGCATTGACAAAATCGTGAATGGGTCAGCTTTCACAAAGACTGAATAAAGTTGACGGCACCAACAGCGCGATGGTCGAATGCGTGGACTCAGGAGAAAGAGAGAAAGGTGTAGCATACATGCAGTGTGAGGATAATGTACTACCCCGTATCTGTTGTTCATTGTGTGGTTAGTCGCGAAAGTGTACAGGTAGGCGTACGCGGAGACCGGAACACGAAAGAGTAGTCTCGTGCGTGCCTCGTGAGTCTGCGATTTCATCCGAAGTCAAGGGCGGCGTGGTCTGCTGACCTAGATGTGGGACCGGAGTCCCATCCCTAAATAGTGCGGATGACGCGTGCTGTTGACTGGGACGTGAGAATGAGGTCTCTGGTAAATCTCGCGTGGGATCCGGAGTAGGGATCCCGACAGTTGGTTTGATAGGTCTAGCATTGAGTCTCGAGTTAGCAGGTAGAACACTATCATCGATGTGTGCTGGCTTAAGACGATCAATGCTGACGATCACGACGCGGTCACTGTTACGGGAGAAATGAAGAAATTTGGCTGATTGAAACATTTATATAAATATCATTAATTTCACTGTGCTATTCTTGGTATATTTGTTTTACTTAACTTATGAACTTGTTTTAATTATTATTTTCGGCCATTTTGGATTCCTGTTTGTCTTGGTTTGTTCGTTTGCAGTTTTTTGCTTCAGGAACCCATAAAATTGAAGAACGACATTGGTCGTCTATTTGGATATCGACGAACGACATTTCGGTCGATTATTTGTGAATAACAAATAAACTTTGGTACCTAATGTTGGAATTTCGTTTTGCTATAAATTTGGGTTCGTGAATTGCAAATACGAACGCCGTTTTCAGACTCTTGATACGAGCCGCGCTGGTGTGGCATGCCAACCCGATAGATGAACTTGGCACGTAATTATTGGCACGGAAGCGGAAAAACTCTCGCTGACAACTCGAGCTTCATTGGTCTCTTCCTGTCGTCAACCCTCTCGCCCTACAACCAAACTTTGGCCGACAAGCCCCCCTCCCGAACGCAGCCGCTAGTTTGTGAAGAAAACATAATTGCTGACACATAAATACTTATTATTGAACATGTGTAACAATAACGTTTTCATTGTACATCTTTTGTTTATCTGTACTTAAAGTCATAATTCAAGCGCCAACCTCGCCAACTCTGTGGCCTTATTGATCGTTTCGTCGTCTGGCTGACCACGTGATATTATTTTGATATCACGCGACTTCCAATCAATAAATATCGTTGTTCTATAATTGACTTTCTGGTTCAAATTTGTTTAGGAGTTTTTACTTGGTAACCATCCCAACTACAACAAAAGTCGATACCATTAAACCTTGTAAGGTCAGCGCTTCATCCGTATGCTATTCTGATCTTCCTACTGGCTCAATAGAATTTGACCGAGAGCTTGAAAACGAACTCTCTTGACCTTGTATCCTGCTCATTGATATAAATGCAACTAACCTCATTCCGAATTACTCGACACCATCCACCACTTCCTGTGTTTCATACG